CCGCCTTTGGTTTTTATAAGTGTGTAGAGAACTGGCCTTAAAATTCCTCCTTGAAGCGGCTAACACTTCACACTTACATAGGTGACTCTAAACGACTGTCATCCCGTAGATACACTATTTGATATACCCCGTATCAAATTTAGAAATCATTTAAAAAGCCTTAATGCTTTATCCTTGGTACTTAACATTGGTCCTCATCACGAGAATGGACCAAAATTTTAGTTGACAAATGTTGAACCATCATTAATGACTATGTTTGATCTCCTTGAAACCTAGATCTTGGGATCTCTAGTCTTCTAGGTCAGAGTTGCCGCCACACATGACTTGTTCTCGGCCATAGTCCTATTCCTCCCTGATGATTTTCTCAACTACCTCTATAGTTAGGCCTGTGTGCAAGTGGATCCGACGTATTATCACTTGAACTTTGCATTGTCAATCGTGATAATTCGGGAGCTCAGCTGTGACGACACAACCCGCGTCTCATGTATTATAGCCCCGTTTTCCCCATTTATTGCTCTTTCATGTTCTATTATACAGCGACGGGTGAGGTTAGAGTTGAATTGAATTAGTTTGGCATAGGAAATGAGACACTTAGTCTCTTTAAGGAAGGTTTTGGTTGGAAAAGTTCAAACCGAATGTATTATTTAGTTAGAAGGCTCGGATGTGAATTCGTGTGATTCGGTTAGCTTCGGGAGGTGATTTGTGACTTAGGAGTGCGACTCGGCAAGTGATTTTGGATGTCTGGTGTAGAATTAGGCTTGAATTTGGCAAAGTTGGCATTTTGGCGATTTCCGTGGGATAGGTGAGATTTTGATCCGAGGGTCGGAATGGAAGTCCGAGAGTTACAGTAGCTCCGTTAGGTGATTTGGGATATGTATGCAAAAATTCAGGTCATTCGCGAACCGTCGTTTGTTGGATTGATTTTTGATCGAATGCGTAATTCGGGAAGCTTTTTAAGAAAACTTAAGGCTTGAAGTCGATGTAATTTGATGGTTTTTAGCGGTTTTTGATGTGTTTTAAAGGTCGTGGAAACAAGTTTTGAATAAAGGTTTTAGGATGTATTGGTTGTTTTTGGTTGAGGTCCCGGGGCGCCTCGGTGGGTGAATTCGGTGTGTGGTTGAACTGAGAGTTTTGAGGTGGTGTTGCATGGGGTCTGTTGTTGCTGTAGTGTCATTTCTGAGATAAGTATTTCCGCTGTCTTACGGAAATGGCGACGCGCATAAAGAGGTTCCGGCAGAATGCGGGTGAGAGATCCGCTAGAACGCGGTCCACTGATTGGCTTGCAGATTTTTGCCGCAGAGCGGACGATGTCGGATTACCGCTAAATGCGGTGACCGCATAAAGCGGTTTCTTTGTACCGCCATATAAGCTGGTACACGGGGAATTTAGTAGAGATACGAGAGAGCGATCGTTGTGCGGTGCGCATTATTGTACCGGTGACCGCCAGGTGCTGGGCGATGATTAACCGCAGAAAGCGGAATAACCGATTGCGGTTTTAAGTGAGACATGTTTTCGACGATTCTTGAAAGAGTAGGAAGAAATATTTTGGACTGTCGGCTTTAGGCGGTTTCTTTGCGCGATTTGAAGAGAATTGTTGAGCGGAGTTCATCAGTCGGTATGAACTATTGGACTCGTGGATTATGTTTATATATGTTGGAAAATCAGGGATTACGAACACTGAAAATTTATAGGGATTATAATGCAAAAGGGATGGTTAGGGTTGAACTCTAAGAGGAGCTTAAATTGACAATTAGTGATGGGGGCAAATGGACTCGCGATTTTGGTGTGAATTTTAATATGGTAATAGGATCTCGTGGGCGAGGGTACGGAGGAACCGCGCTGATGGGTTAATTTCATAATTTTTCGAGAAGTGCGGCCCGCGGGCGTTCGGGTTTTTGCCAACTTCTTGAATTTGGTATTTTTCGAAGTCTTTTCGATTGGGTATTAGTGTGTTGCTTTAGCCTATTGGTAATGGTATTCGTTTGTTGGTTGTAATCGGAGATTTTGGCTGTGCGTAGAGAGGTTTGATTTCGATTAAGGCAAAGGCATGAGCGGAGCTAGATTGTGGCCGGCTTGATGTGAGTAATAGAGTGGTATGATGATTGACCTGGAGGGTTTCGAAAACCCCGGTATATCACATTATGACGCCTATAATGAGGCAAGACACGCAACTCTATGACGGAGTGCGGGTCATTGTAACTGGGTTTTACCATAGTCCGTTCCGATTTGAATGTTTGTACTGGGTGTTCTTGGACTAGAAATTGGTTTTGGGTAATCATCCTACTTGGATTTGAATATGTTTGGGCTTGTGCCACATTCACCATCTCTCTCTTTGTTCATAGGCTAAAACGCACACAACAATGAGAACCGAGATGGTAAGGGTTGATTGTGTGACTTATGGTTGTCTAGGTATACACCAAATTTCGACGGTTCAAAGATATCAAATCTACCGATTGACCGAGTATATCCGACATAAGTTCACAACGGAAAGTTCAAAGGGAAACCTATTTATCCAGATGCAATTAATTCTTACTTCGAATCACACAGTTTTTCATGCATATTTCCGTGATATAGCCATTCCCCATTCATGTGGGGGATTGTTGGGTTATTAAGCATTATAATAGGCTTAAAAGCGGGTGAATGGAAAATGGAAGAAAAATAAAATATATGAGTTTCTTTTGAGATTCCCTCCTTGACAAAGGGACATTGTCCCATATTGGCAGAGGAAGAGGTTTTTGATGGGTATATAAGCAATTGCTCTTCTTCTAGCTCTTAAAGAGTTGAGAAGAAGGCAAGCCTCGCGCCGTCGCTCGCTCGGTTTCGGCTTCGGCTTCGGCTTCAGAGTTGGATTTGGTCAAATGATCGATTGATTGATTAATATTTTGGACCAAATTTATTTGTTAATAGTAAATATTGACGGAAATATTATTAAATATCCAATTTAATAACAGAATTTTAATTTTAATATTAATATTTTGCTATGACCGTTTTGCATAAACAACCATTCTGAAGAGTTCCACCTCTTCAGCCCAACATTGGTTATAAATACAATTCCATTCTCTCAGATTTTCCATACGATTTTCTGAGTTCTCCTCCTTTCTTCAGCATACTTTTAACTTCAAAGAAAGCAACAGTAAGTGTGATTTGCTACCGAACTTTGTGTTCGCTGAAACACTGAGGTTTGAAGTAACACTACACCAGTGTGTAATTCGTTCTATCCTGGGAGGAAATAATCTATAACCTTGGGTACTAGAATGGGATTAATTCCTTAAGAAAACGCTGTGAATTCAGTGGGTTCGTATTAACTTTTGTTTGGTTTATATTTTCTGTTTATATATTATTCTATATTTTCCAGAATTAGTTTACAAATACAGTTTACTAACAACAAAAACAAGGTGATTTTACACTTTATTCCACCATAGTTAAGGTTACCCTTGTCTAATTACAATATGAGTTAAAAGATCCATCTCCTACTTGGTATTTTTTTTATTTTTCACCCGATGTACGATATCCACATTGGGGCTGACTAAATTCGGACTCGCGCTGGAAAGTCCCACATTATAGGTAAACTGTTCCCTAACAAAGGCGACTCCATACTCAAAGACTCGAACCCGACCTACTTGGGATGTGCTTGTTGATCTTGTACATTTCTTGGAAGGTAAGAAGAAGATAAATCACCAGACCTTTTCTTTAGCATCTGCCTTATCCCATCAGCTACACAAATTGCAGGATTAGAGTTATATTTTCTACAAAATGACATGTGAGCCTTCACTGCTTCTTCCATCACAAGAAAATATTGATTATTATTATTCCTTCCTCTTTCAACTTCATCTCTAACAGCTTCTGAGCACAACCCACACAACCATTTCCCCTTGAAATTGGCCTTCACTTCATTAATATAGTCTTGTGTGCAATCTTCTTTTAGACTACAACACTCACACTTAGCCAATTCTATGTCCATTTTCTTGAATCAAGACCAAGATTTCTTTGCGAGCTAATCCTTTTTTTTGGAATTATTTTACACTTTGGAAGTTTAGTTATCTTGCCATGGGGAGCAAAAGGAAGTGTTTCTTGGATTATTTAGGGTAATGGCTACAAAGGGAAAAGGGTGGGAAGAGAAGAAGGAGGAAGTGAGAACTTATAGAGCATTTTTTCCAACGGAAGATCAGGTTTTTTAGTTCATTACAGATGTTATTTTAGTTATATAGTCATTTTCATAGGACATTAATAAAAAATTAACATAGAAAATCTATAAAATAAATACATGAAATTTTTGCAAGATCGCTTTTTTTTTAAAATTAAATTGTAAGTGGAGATAATAAATCATTTTCGACCTCCATCTCAAATTATTTGCCGTGTTTCTATTTTACACTCCCCTTAAGAAAATGTTAAATAGGAAAGATTTTTGACTATTTTACCATTATTTATGTCGTAAGATATATTCTCTCTTCATTTAATACTTATTCATAATTAAGGTATTTGTAGTCTTCAAGAGCAATTAATATTAAGGGTAGAATAAATAAAAAAATATTTAATCTTGAACTTCTAAAATAACATATAATTTGAGTCAACTATTTTTAAAAACCACGACAAATAATTTGAGATGAATTTTTTAATTTCTAAATGGCAGTTCCAAAAAAACGCACTTCGACATCAAAAAAGCGTATTCGTAAAAATATTTGGAAAAGGAAGGGATATTCGATAGCATTAAAGGCTTTTTCGTTAGCGAAATCTCTTTCTACCGGGAATTCAAAAAATTTTTTTGTACGCCAAACAAAAATAAATAAGTAATAAAACGTTCGAATAATTTGAATCAACTTGAAAAAAGTGTAGGAGTAGTAGGAAGAAAATGCATGAATTTTCTAAGGCAGTGGCGGATGCAGAATTTCTACTAAGGGGGTTCAAACAAGAAAAAAGTTATAAAATTGAAAGAAGTTATGGCCAGTGGGAATTGAACTAGTGACATCACAAAGGTTTTAACCCCTTAACCATTGAGCTATATCTTTGGGCTATGTCAAGAAGATTCAATATATAATATATAAAAATAAATATCTTACCTTACATAAACAATGTAATTTTTCGACGAAAAGGTTTCGGATAAACACCCTTCCGCGCTCCTAAATCAACCCTTTTCTAAGAGACAATGGGGAGTGAAAAATGAGACAATTCGGAATTTGGTCTTGGGGGGACCCCTAAGGTGCGGCCCTTTGTATTATTTAGACCAATGATTAATGTGATTTTCTACTTGTTTTTGTCATTTTGTTTTGTATTGTTGTTACTTTAGGTGCAGTTTCTGCTTTTGGCTTGAAAGACAGTTACTTTCGGTTGAAATGGATTTATTTGGCTTGACTTGGATTTTTCTGGCTTGGTCTCAGTCTTGTTATCGATATTCCATACATGCATGTGTTGACCATTCTCGCTTATCTTTTTTGCACATTTGACTAAATCAGAGGCGGATTCAAAAGTTTATGAATTATGAATTTATTATCTAATCTATAAGGATTATTTAATACAAGAAATAAGAATAATAAATCCGGAATAGAATTTGGGATTATATTTACCGATTTCATGTTTGGTTATAGATATTAGCTAATCCCAGGAAACGTTTTATGCTAAAATGTTGGATTACCTATCTCATATTGAATATGGGATAGTTAATCCCATGGAGGTGTGAAATCCTAGTTTATCATACCGTTACACCAAACGACCCCATAATGTATTAAATATTTATATACATTTAATTGTTATGAAAAAATAAAAGAAGTAAAAGAGCATTGCAGAGAAAAGTTGAGAGAGAGAATTCTTATTGAATTTTGGGATGAATTACAATAGAATAGAACCCTCTATTTATAGGGAGAGGTGACTTAGCCATCAAGCAATGAACCCTAGATTCTCTCTAAATATAGACATTCACCATAAATAAAATTCTATTTATAACACTCCCCCTTGAATGTCTATTCAACAGATAATGTGCCTCGTTAAAACCTTAACTAAAATAAAACCCAGTGGGAAAAAAATTCTAGAGAAGGAAAAAGAGTACACATATCTAATAATACGCCTTTTGGTTGCCTCGTTAAAAACCTTGCAAGGAAAACCCAGTGGGACAAAACCTTGTTAGGGAAAAAGAGTACAACGCGTATTAACTCCCCCTGATGAGAGCATCAATTCACATCCTTGAGCATTTGCATTCCAATCTTGTGCACCATCTTCAAAAGATCTTTGGTAGAGATTTGATGAACAAAACAACCATATTAACTTGAATGAATATATTGCACCTTGAAATCATCATTCTATATAGAGATATAATGTCTTCATAAACATCGTAGAATGGCTCTTCAATATCTCTATGGAGGTATTCTCGCTATCACATTATCATGCTTATAGTTATAGCAAGATACATATATGCACAAATTGCAATGAGGATGTGGTACTTCAAGATCAAGAATTGTATATGCTTCAAGCAATTTAAATCTTTCAAGGGTCTCATAAGTTAAGCCATATAAGTCATATAATAGACTTTAATTAGATGCATATCAAGGTTTCATGTCATGCTAGACAAATAAGATATCGAAAACTGATTGCACATATCATTGTCTTTATACTTTCAAGTATTTGAACTACACGTTCAAAACTACATGTCTTTCATATGAATTCAAATTATACTTGAATTGTGGCTCTTCCATTTAGCCAATATTTTTGTGTCTATATTCGATAGACTTAAGATCCTCATCTATCTTAGCGCAATGATAGATGTCGTCGACAAATATTTTATATCGGTTCCAACCTTCTTATTTTTCATAAAGACATAACATAGAGATCTCTTCATTCATATATTTAGGTACCTGAATCTTTCATGAGATTTTATGAAGTGTTATGTCACGTGATCTTCTAGATCACTTGCCTCCTTTATTATGATCATTTTGATCATTTGCTCATCTTCTGTATCAAAGAAGTTTTATTTGAAACCGATTTGTCTGTATGCTATAAGCGTACCATAAACTTTGTTCTTCTAGGACTTAATATGAGCATTTGCAATGAGAATATAGTTACTTTCTTTGAGTAAGCAAATGAGTCTGGCATGCTTTGCAATATATTGCACATGAATTATCTTTTTATGAACTTCAAGTTCATATTATCTTATTCGAGGATCTATATGAACAAATGATAATTCATTCCACGTAACTTTTTCTCAACTGTTTATCTTGTCTCCCCCTCATGTTAGAAAAACTAACTTGTTTCCTCAACTTTGAGAACTCATCTTTGTGCTTTATGGTGTTAATCAAAATATACACCGCACATCAATAATAATAAGATGGAATTATTTGGTTCCTGACCATGAACCAATTGTGAGGGGAGAAAATAATATACTTTGGTATATAACATATATCAAACTGATATAGATAACTTTGTTCTCATAAGCAATTGTTTAGCTATTAAGTAGAGACACTTAATAAATCATTTTGCTAAACCAACTGTGATGTAAACCAACTTATCAAGATGAACTTCTTGAATAGAAAATCTGGAAATTATGCTCGAAATTAAATTATTGAGCAAGTTACCTCGCAAAACACCATGTTGTGGGTTATTGATAATCGCACATGTAACCATCTCATAGATGCATCTTATGTGGTATACATGGCAGGTGAATGGGCCTGTATTCACTTTTGATATTTCAGTATTCATGGGATTCAATCCCAATTTTAGTTGGTCTATTAATTAATGAGAACAAGCAATGTAAGAGAATTCGTAAAGAACTTTCTAGTTCTTTAATATTTAACCATGTGAATTCTCTTTTATTTTTGCACATCATACTTGAATTAACATGGCTAAACCAATTATGCCAACTGGATAAATTATCAACATAGATAAACTTCATGTTTACACCATGATATGTGCAATTATGAATAAACTCCAAGTTTATTATGATATGGGTTTTTACATCAATAAATATCCACTTCATTGTGGTATTCTTTTGTTTATGTAGTACAAATTGGAGAATAAAGCGGGTAACTTTTCACATACATATTACCCTGCTACAAGTTGTAGTAATGGAAGATATTAAATCTTTCCTTTATTTATAGTCTCAATATAATCAACCGCTTTCGCGAATACTTTGGAAACTGAATAAGTTTCTTTGAGACTTACTACAACACAATACCTTATTGGTAATCAATTGTGTTTCTCCAAAATAGTAATAATTGGCTCTTCCAAAGCTCTCAATTAATTTGGTACTACCACATATTCATCAACATCCATATGGTGAATATCTCTTTTAAAGAGAAAGTTATACCATCATGGTTATGGTCAAAATTATATGCAAGATATGTTTCTTGCATTAATTTTATCTTTAATAATCACATTACCAAAATATTTTGGCGTACAATAGGTACGTTACCAATGACCATTCATGCCATAATAATGACATATTTTCTTATATCATCTCAAACCTCCTTCTAGAGGTGAGTGTGGTATATTCACTACCACTAGCACGTTTATATTCTTCAAAGAATGAATATATATTCATAAATCAGATGTTGTCACATTCACATCATGAATGGACAATAATCATCTATATGTGCTTTATAAAGTCTCATGTCAAATTGATGACAAATATTACTTTCACATAGTGAAGGATTATTTTAAGAATCCTTATTATTCTCAGTATCACAATGATGACGATTATAATTTTATCTATTGCCACGTCCACATCCATTGATACCTTCATAGTAATAATTTTGTCTTCTTTCAGACTTATCACATACTGCTATCACATTCTCTAAAGGGAATGAGAATGGAGCAAATTCAATGGGACGGGTTTTCAATTCTTTGCCCACAATCATACATGAATTTAATCATGGCAATGCATAGAAATTTTACCACTTTGGGTGGTTAGAATTTCTTACAAACTCCATTAGAGTTATAATCAAACTTTGTTGTCTTTGCTTGTATTTAAAATCAAAG